GGAAACCATCCTGCTGAATGCCTAGAAATTCTAGTTATTTTCTTTTGTACTTATTTTTAGTGTTTAAAGGTTAAATTAGTGAGAAATCAGTCTGAGTCATGGCTGTGATTGGGGGTCACTCCCAAACCCCTTTTCACCCTCTTACCTGTGCTGTAATTCATCACACTGCTTATTTCTTTCTTGTATCTTTTCCTCTCCACTGGCTACCTTTGGAATCTCTTAAGAGAGCTTTTGGTACTTCTTCCATGACCTTCAGCTCTTCTTGCATCTGTGCTTTTCTTTCTCCTACCCTTCACACACACTTTACTGAAAAAATATTCTTCAGACATGGCTTACTGTGTTTCTTCCTCCTGCCAACCTGGCCTTCTGATAGCTAAGGCCTTCCTTTGCTGGGCTTCCCAACCTCTCTCCTCATTCCCATCCTCAGAGGCTGTTATCTTTCTCAATAATCTTGTGGTCTCCTGCACACCTTTTGCCTCTTTCACATTTGGGATTTCACAAATATAATTTCTCCTACCCAGTTGCCTCTCCCTCCTCTTGTTAATGTTGTTTAACATTTAGCTCTAAAGCTTCTCTAGGAATATTTCTTCAGTAGGCTTGACTAATTCTAATTTATCTCTTACTCTGTCTTCTTTGCACTTAAGCATTTTCTGCTTCTTAGAGTCATAGCTGTTATTTTCTTTAGTATTAACAGAGTCATTTGGTGTTTCTTTCTTTTTTTTTTTTTTTTTTTTTGAGACAGTCTGGCTCTGTTGCCCAGGCTAGAGTGCCGTGGCGTCAGCCTAGCTCACAGCAACCTCAAACTCCTGGGCTCTAGCAATCCTTCTGCCTCAGCCTCCTGAGTAGCTGGGACTGCAGGCATGTGCCACCATGCCCAGCTAATTTATATATATATATATATATATATTTTAGTTGTCCAGCTAATTTCTTTCTGTTTTTAGTAGAGATGGGATCTTGCTCTTGCTCAGGCTGGTCTTGAACTCCTGACCTTGAGTGATCTACCTGCCTTGGTCTCCCAGAGTGCCAGGATTACAGGCGTGAGCCACTGTGCCCAGCCCATTTGGTGTTTCACTTATGTTTCCTTCTCATGGAGTTTATGTTAACCCTCCTGGGAATGGATCTTGCCTCCCATACTAGTATATTTCTCTGTGGTGTCTCAGTTGGTGTGCATGAAACAGGCTTCTAAAATATTCTTAATAGTCTGGACAGGATGATAAACATGAGGTCCCACAGTATGATGGGTCCAGCTTGGGAAGAGGAGGTGTTCTCTCTGGAAGCTACCTTGTATAATGTTCGTGTGTGGTGTGTTCTTCTTTCAATCTCTCCACCACTATCCTAGCAGCTAGAAAAATGGACAGTTGCAGTTAAGTGCACAGCGCAGCTGTCAGGTGGGAATGATGCTCAGTGGTTCTTTGTCTGGGTAGGACCATCCGGAGAGGCCATCCAGATCCATCACCAGACCCGGCAGAATATGGCGGAGCTGCAAGGCAGTGGGCAGAGGGACCCGACTCACTCCTCTGCAGAGCTGCTGGAGTTAGCATATCATGAAGCTGCTGGAAGGTGAGGATGTGCACAGGTCTCCAGAAGGTAACTTGAGAACACTTTTCAGCACCCAGGACAATGTGCATAACAGATGGCTGACAAAACATGTTTATAAGACTTAAAAAGACAATATGACATCAGGACCTTCCTTTGTCAGGCAATGTCATTCCCTTCACGGGGCAAAGTACAAAGCAGACAAGCTGACATTTTTGCTTGAGATGTTACCCAGGCCCTGCTTTAGGTTTATCTTGAATCCAAAACATGCTTTGTAAACCTCAAACATGGGTTTTTCTACACCTCAGTCAAGGATGAAAACAAAAGAGAAAATGCTTTGGGTTTGGAGTGCTGAGACAGGTGATTCATGCTATGTGTTTTGGGCAGCCTCTCTATGACTTTGGTCATTTTGATCATTGAGAAATTCCACTGTTGAGTTTAGAAGAAGTTAATGCTAAAAGCAGTGGAAATCAAGGCCTGTGTTTATGGAAACAACTCTTTTTGAACCAGAGCTCTGAATGCGTTACAAGATATCTAAAGAGAGGCAGTATGGAATAAAGTCATTTAAGCCTTCAGAAGCATGAGCCTGGGTTACACCTAGACTCATTGTTCCTGTGTTGCTCGAGGAAACACTTTGCAAAGAGCCATCTTTAGCCCCTCTTTCAGTCACCTTGACATCCCTTGAGATGGGTAAGGGGTCTGGTGGGGCAGGACTCTCTTTACCAGAGCAACTCTGGTATATCTACTCAAGCATCTCACATCCATCCTAGTTTGTAAGTGGAGGCATGGGACAGAGAGGGCAGGTGGTCTAGCATGGTGGTGGAAAAGTAGCCAGGTACAAGGGCAGGAGGAACAGGCCACAGGAGGCCAGAGCTGGCACACAAACCAGGCACTGTGGCCTGGTGGCTTGTGATATGAGTCCTAGTGGTTGCCAGCCTGAGTGGCTGAATATTCAGGCCAGTTTTTGATGAAACCCCTCCAGGATACAAGGTGAGCAGGAAAAAGAGGTGGATGATGTGCATTAAGCCAGGTGGCTGGGCTCTGTTCTCTGCAGGCACAGCACTTCCCGCCAGCCTGGTGACGGCATGTCCTTCTTGAACTTGGGTGGAACAGAAGAGCTTTCTGCCAGCCTGCTTAGCAACAGTGGTGCAGGTAACCAATCCAAGAGGTAACGGAGTTGGGTGCTTAGAGCAGGCTCACTTCTAGGGATGACACGAGAGCCATTAAAGCAGGGCCATATCTATTTTGGGATTCTTTCAGCCACAATTTTGGGTGACCTATTTAGAAACAGTGCTATTTAATGCATGGAATTATAAATGGGCTGCACATTACATTTTTAGTCGAGAACGTACTGGTCAAGCCACATTTATCATCTTTTGTCAGGGAGTCATGATTGAGGGCTGCTTAGGAGCTTGGTGTTGAGGGCAACACCAGGGCCAGAGCAGGAGTGGTCTCTTGCTCTAGAGGAGCTTTCAGTTGTTGGGGCTGGGGAAGTGAACCCACCTCACTAGAAACAGGCAGGAGAAACCCAGAGGGGAGCACTGGCTCCAGTTATGAGATCAGAAAAGAGAAAGGTGGCATAGTTGCTTAGAGAAGTGAGCATGTACCTCAGAATTTGGTTAGGTAGAGGGTTAGAAGGTGAGGATTCCAAGTGGAGAGGGGAAGGAGAAAAGTATGAATTTTATTTTATGCTTTCCAGAAGCACTTTTATATCTTTTATTTCATCCTATCATCCCGGTAGGGCATAAGTTATTAAATATATTTTACACATAGACAATTTAATGCCCAGAGATACAGAGATATTAAACTAATTTCTCAAACCAGTAGCCAGGTATCCTCACCCAAACTGCTGTCCTCCTTTGATGACGTTATTTAGAGTGCCTTTAAAGGGAGGTATAGGGGAACATGAGTTTCGATAGGTGAGGGCAGATTTTGTAGAGCCTTAGAGGACAAAACGAACGTGAAAAACATTAAAACTTAAGAAAAAATAATGGGGCTGCTAGTTCATGCCTTAGTGTTTCTATAAGCTAACTTACTTTTCTAAAACTTAACTTAAGGAAGGTATAGTGAAAGTGAAGTTGTATAAAATTGGTAATGATGTTTTCCTTCATTCATTGGTAGGTTCATCCAACAGTATTCCTAGAGGCCTATGGCTAAGGCTTGGAAACTGGGTTGACAGTAAGAGAATCCCTAAATGGTTATAATTTTATTTCTTCATTCATTTATTTTGTTTTTTATTTTTATTTTTTGGTCAACCTAATTATCACTATTCATTCCTTTTTAATGAGAAAACACACTGAATAACAATTTGGGGGTTGGGAGGTCAAAGCAGGAGGATCATTTGAGCCCAGGAGTTCGAAACCAGTCTGAGTAACATAGCGAGACCCCCCTCTCTACAAAAAGTAAAAAAAATTAGCTGGGTGTGGTGTTGTGTACCTATAGTCCTAGCTACTAAGGAAGCTGAGGCAGGGAGATTGCTGGAGCCCAGGAGTTTGAGGTTACTGTGAGCTATGATGATGCCACTGCACTCTAGCCTGGGTGACAGAGTGAGACCCTGTCTCAAAAAAAAGACAGAAAACCCCACAAAACTATATATGTATGTAGAGAGAGAGAGATGAGAAGAGACTTTGTGAACCTGCACTCATGGTGCTGAAAATGTTACCTGGTTGCTAGACTACTTTAAAGTGCCTTCGGAAGGATATAGAGGCAGTGTTTCTATTGCTTTCTTGAACCAAGGAGCCACTTTTTAGGAACCCAGAGTTTGAGCTTTCCAGGCTGTCTGGGGTAGAGTTGCACCAAGGAAGGCTGCTCTGGAGCTCATTGGACTATACCTTGAACTAGTTTCATTGGTGACCTGAAGGAGAGGAAGTTACAAGTTCAGATGGGAGCAGCACCAGGATCTGCCCAGGGTAGTCCTGGAGTTGTTCTGGACCTGGGGTAGCTCAGGCAGACCAGATGATACCCCAGAAAATGAGTCTTTTGGAATTTTAAAGATCTACTTTTCGTAAAAGAGTAAGATTTCAAAGAATCTTTATTTGGGGATGGTTGGAGAAGATCCTCAGATGATCCCGTCATGCAGTCCTTGTGGCTGAGGGTTCCCTGGTGCACATACATTGGAAAAGCATTTGCTGCAACCTGGATCGCCAGCTCAGTCTTCTTCTTGGGCTCTGTAGTGATAGATCTGTCTACCTGATGGATTTCTCCACTTGGATGACCAAGTGCCTCACCCTTAATGTGTTGACAGCTGAACACATGTCTTGCTGTTCCCCAACCCATGATTCCACTTCTGTTCCTTTCTTCTGACTTTGGCTCCTCATGTCCATTTTCACTGCTTTTGTTCAGATCCCTGTTGTTTATGGCCACTATTATTGCAGTAGCTTTCTAAGTGCTTTTCTTGCTGTTTTATCTCCTCTGAATCATCTTCCATATTGTCAGGGATGAGATATTTCCAGATGCAGATCTGATCAGCCACTCCTTCTCACATATAAACCCTCAGTGTTTCTTCCTGGCTTGCAATCCTCGTCATCACCTGGCTCCTACCTATGTTTGTGTCTTCACCTGCCTCCACTTCCCCATGGTACTGCATATGGAAGAAGCGCAGGCTTCTTAGGACATGAGTCCTGACTCCAACTCTAATGAATAGTGAGGTTCTCAGACCAGTTACCTAACCAACCTCTGCTGTCTCAGTTTCTTCAGCTATGAGGAAGATTGTTGTGAATGTCAAATGTGATAATCCGCGTAAGTGCTTAGGATGGTCCTGGGCATGCATGGTGAGCGCTCAGTAAACGAGCTATTTTTGTTATTAGTGTTATATGAGCATATTTTACACTCTGGGTCCTCAGAAGAATTATGTCCTCATCCTCCTTTGCATAGATCACCCCCTCTGTATAGAATATGCTTTTTTCCTTTCTTCAACCCTGATTCTTCTTGGCAAGCATTAACTCAGTCTTTAGGATTCAGCTCCAACAACACCTCCTCTTGAACCCTGCCTGGTGGTTCCCTCTCCTCCCCGTGCCCTCCCAGGAGATGTCAGGCGTGTTTCCACATAGCTCCATGTGCGTAACCCAATTGTACCACTTGGCACATCTTTATCCCACTGTTTGTTTCCCTGTCTGTCTCCCCACTAGACTAAAATAACTTATTTTTATTTTTCTTCTCCCTATAGTGCACATTTATTGTTTATTAACACATTTATTAACAAATGAATTTATACTTCCAAGACCAAGCAGCCATATGTGAGAAGTGTTGAACAACCCCCAAAATGATCGTTTAATAGGTATGCAAGTGTTCAATTACATGCATATGTTTATCTTCTTATGGAAAGTTTGGGCTCCTTATGTTGTTTTTCTAGTCAAGGCAGTATAGTTAAGTGAGATCATTCTTTCCCTTGCCCAGTGCCCTTATGACCTGCAGCATGTGTTTTCAAAGGAGCCAGGCATCATCAGTAAGTGGTCTATAGCCACATGGGAATTGAACTTTCATCTTTGACCCTCTGCTACCTGATTAATTATGTTAATGAGCCACAGAAATAAATTAGATTAAATCATTTTAGTTTTTATCACCATATGCAATAACCAATTCATGTCAGATCTATCTTTAGGATATATCCAGAATATTAACTCCACCATTGCTAGCCTGGTTCAAGGTACCAGGCTTTTGCCTGTATACAGTAGCCTGCTAACTGATATGGTCTTCCTTCCTTGCCATATTGTTCATTTTCAACAAAGCAATCCAGAGTGACCCTTCTAAAATAGATGTTAGATCATGAAACTTCTCTGCACAGATTCTTCCAAGGGCTTTCTGACTCACTTGGAGTCAAAGCCAAGGCACTATGGTAGCCGACAGACCCCTCATGTCATATGGCCTCTTCTTACTGTCAGACCTTGTTTCCTGCTTCCCCCTCTCACTTCACTGTAGTGGTTGCCCGGATAGATCAGACACACCCCAAAATTCAAGTCCTTACTCTTGTTCTCCCTTCTTCTGTGCTCTTATTCCAGAGAGCCTCATGGCTAAGATCCATATGTCTGAGTTGCATTTCTAGAGCTTAAAACAGTTCCTGTCACATGTCAGGTAGTTGAATGAATGCTAAAAGCCTTCTGATGTTAGCTTTCTCTCTGCTGAAGAATGATTTAATTTTTCCTCTAATGCTTTTCTTTCTTACAACCTTGTTGAATCCTTGCTGGATTCCTTTTTTCAAAGATTTGGCCAGTCTTTAACCTTGCTTGGTTTTGAAGTGACTTTCCTTTTAAGCCATCTTCAGTCTTCACGAAATATGGTTTGCTTTCTTGAAACTCACGAAACTCTTACTCATTCCAAAAATGTTTAGTGAACTCTAGGCACTGTGCTAAGGCCTGAGAAGAAACAAAAACTATTAAGGCACTGACTCTCCCGACCTCAGGGAGCTCTGGCTCCTCATTCACTTGGGATTTTATTTGAAGCAGTTCCCCTGTGGGGTAACAATAATGAAAGGAAAGCCCCCTCACTGGGAGTTGGACTGTGTGAGTGGTTCCAGTAATAAAAGTGTGGCTTGAACATGTGATCTCTGCTAAATTAGGAGATGCTCAATGAGGGAGTGTGCTGTGATGAAAACAACCAGGATCAAAGTCCCAGCCCTGCTCCTCACTGGTCTTTAGAATTGAGCCTTCAATCTTTGCTGAGCCTCGGGTTCTTCATCTGTGTATTGGGCATAAAGATCCTCACCTTCTTACCTGCCTACCTGACAGAATTGTTGTCAGGGTCAAAAGTAGGTTGGTTTGTTAATGGCAAGGTTACCACATTGAGTCTTTGTTTTCGGACAAGGCAGTTCTAAACACACAAACAGTTAACATTTCATTCATTAAAAAAACATAAAAGAATATCCTGTAATAACCTCCCCCCCTCCAAAAAGAAAACCATAAAAGAACCAGGAAAACCTTATCTGTGACCCCACCTTCACCTCCCTGGGGCTGGTTGGTTTGCACCATCTGTAGGCACTCAAGCATGACTCAGATTTTCCACTGCATTTGAGCATGATTCTTATGTGAGTCATGATTCACAGGAGTCGCGTCTCTGTGGGTTTCCCTCCTGGCCCTGTAGAGTTTCATTTGGAGCATTCATTGTTGGGGGCCTCAGAGCTGCACTCTTCCCTTGTTTCTCACCGTGCTGACCAGCAGGGCCCAGGCAGTTGGTGGGATTGGGCAGATAGTTTTTATCCCTCTGTTTCTGTAGCTGGAGACCAGTTTAGAAGAACTTGTTAGTAAGTGTTTTTTGCTTTATTAGAGGTAGATCATTTTGAAAAAGAAAATAAGTAGATGCCATATTTTCTTTCTCTTTAATGTTGGGACTCAAAATCTGCAAACTCGGTGTTTCTGTTCAATATTAGGTGCATGGGGCAGATTTGGCCTGAGAGCTAAAATAAAAATAAATCATAGCACACTAAGGCTGGAAGGAAGAACCTCTGAGTCATTGACCAAGGCCAGGTTAGGTTTTTTATGGGTAAGTGCCACCTCTGTGGCCCAGAGAGGAAAAACCACTTGCCCCAGCCACAGGCTTCTAGATGGCAGCCTGGGACCAGCCTCAGAGGATCCATGCTAAGTACCCTTTTTGGCCTTGAGGTTTACAATTAGAGAACATGTTCACACTTCTCAATTCTGAATGGATGTCAAAAGAGACAGAACTGAGATGACTCTTGTCAGCATTGGCTCCCGAGTTGTGTGTCTGTCTTTGAACTTTGAGAGTGAGACTTCATTCCCAAATGTTGGGTTGGAGCAGAGCTAACTGACCATGCAGTCTGACCTCCATCGTTGCAAGTTGGCGAGGCTCTTCATATGTCAATAGCAAGTCTACTCCACTAAAAATAAGGGCTCAAAGGCAAAGCCAGGGCAAAAGGCAGTGCGTTCTTGGATTTGGACTACAAGGAAACTGTAAGTAGCTTCCCAGAAGCCCTTAAAATATTTATTTCTTTAAATTGCTTTTTCCTTAAAATTCTGTGCACACTTGCATGTGTTTCCATTAGAGATGGCACAGACCTACTTTTGGCTTAGGACCCCATGCTGCTCTGTAAGTTAAATTATTTCTTCATTCGGGTAAGAATTTCAGTTGCTTCATAGACCAAGTCTGGGTTGGATTTTCTTAAGAACAGCAATAAAATAATAGGTGATCAGATGATCAAACTTAGCATCCTACCATGGGAGGTGATGTATTTGATATTGCTCAGAATGTTTTGCAAATGCCAGTTTTTTTATTGCTTTCATATGAGTTCTCATGCTGAATAAGAAAATTCATCTCATTGGTTCTTTATAATCAGTCAGGCTTTATGTTTGCATAAAAATGGATATTGTCAGCCAAGATTGTTTTTTGAGAAACTTTAGCTCCAAATGGCTTTTGGCTATTGACAAGAAACAGATAACATTTCAACAGCTAAAAACTGGTGCCCCAGATGGATAGTCAAGAAATAGAGCATCTGTAAAGTTGAGCAGAAAGATTCTAAATGCAGTTACCACCTACTTACTGTGAGATCTTCAGCAAGTTACTTAACTTTTCTGACCCTCAGTTTCTTGATCTATGGGAAAGGATCCTTCCTACTTCACATCTACCTCCTGGTGTGAATCTGAATGAAATGAAATACTTTATTTGTCTGACTTAAATTGTATCTTCTATTGTGATCATTAATAATTTAAAAAAATCTGCTCCAGGCAGTTCCAAAAAAGTTCTGAAATTCTTTTGGCCAAGAAACATCATCTTTTTAAACTTAAAAAAAAATTACTTATTTTAAAATTTATTTCCAATAAAATTCACTCTTTTTAGTGTACAGTTCTATGAGTTTTGACAAATGCACAGAACCACATACCTACCAAAGAACACATCAAGATGGGAAACATTCCCATTACCCCCCATAATTCTCTTTTGCTGTCCTTTTGTACTCAACCCCACCCCTCTCCCTGGAAACCACTGACCCTTTAGTTTTGCCTTTCCCAGCATGTCGTGTACATGGTGCCATACAGGGTGTGGTCTTTTGAGTCTTTCACTCAGCATATTGCATTTGAGATTCATCCAAGTTATTGCATGTATCTGTAGTTCATTACTTTCTATTACTGAGTAGTATTCCATTGTATGGACATACTGCAGTTTGTTTATCCTCTCACCAGATGAAAGACAAAACCTATTTCCAGGTTTTGGTGACTATGAATAACGTTTCTATTAACATTTACATAATTTTGTAGTAACAAAGTTTTTTATGAAATTAAATTTTCACTTGTGTACGTTTCTAGGAGTGTGATGGCTGGGTCAAATGTACCATGTTTTCCAAAGCGATGTATCAGTTTGCATTCCTACCAGCAATGTATAAGGGTTTCATTTGCTGCACAGCCTTGTCAACACTTGGTATGATCAGTCATTTAGATAGGCATGCAGAGGTATCTCACTGTGCTTTATATTTCCTATTTCCCTAATGATTAATGATGCTGAGCATCTTTTTATGTACTTAGCTGCCTTTTGTGTATGATGTTTGATGAAGTGTCTTTGAATCCTTTGTCTATTTTCTCATCATCTTGTTTGTTCTTTTGTGCTTGAGTTTTGAGAGTCTTCTGGATTCTGGATACAAGTCTTTTGCCAGATGTGTGATTTGCAAGTGCTTTCTCCCAGGTCATAGCTTGTTTATTCAAAGATTTCATGAGGAATTTATAAATATTTGTTCTTGTTATAAAAGATTCAAATGATGCAAAAGTATTTAGAGTAAAAAGTATAAGTTCTTTATTGCTCCTACCTCCTTCTCCAGCTGTCTTCTTGGAGAGAGCCACTATTGACAGTTTATTGAGGATCTTTCCAATTCTTTTTATATCATAATTTTCTAGTAAATATACGTTTTGAAGGGACACTTACATACTGATAGGTCTGTTACTTTACAGTCAATACGTTGCATTTCAGAGAATCTTCCTGTTTTTCCTTTCAGCCTAGTTATAGGTAAAATCATTTTTCTTGTAAAGTAGTGACTTTTGATGTTATATGACAGAGTCCAGAAAGCCATGGTTTGGGGAAGAAAATTCTAGAAGATAAGGATGGCTAATGAGTGGACTTAATTTAAGTAGGTTATTTTATATTTGCTCAAGATTGCTCTAATTAGTTGAAATGACTTTGCAATGTCACTATTTTCTTAAAATAAGTGATGAGTTGTAGGGGAGTGGGGATTTCTTTTGGCAAAGAATAGTATTGATAATCTTAGGTTTAAGTTCTGGCTCCTTTCCAAATTTTATTCTATTTTTTATTTTTTGAGACAAAGTCTTGCTCTGTTGCCTAGGCTACAGTGGCATCATCATAGCTCACCATAGTCTCAAACTCCTGGGCTCAAGCCTCAGCCTCCCGAGTAGCTAAGACTACAGGCACACACCACCATGCCCAGCTAATTAAAAAAAAATGTTTTTTATAGAGACAGGGTCTCACTGTTGCCCACACTGGTCTCCAACTCCTGGCCTCAAGCAGTCCTCCAGCCTTGGCCTCCCAAAGTGCTCACTTCCAAATTTTAGATTGATCATTTTTCCTTGATTGATTCTTCCATGCTGCTGGAAATACTCAGCACAGAATTTTCACTTGGCTCACATTTTTATTTTTAGCTACAATTTTGGCCTTTTTCATCCATAAAAGGTTGACTCTCCTGCAGAATAAGCCTTATTAAGAAAAGCTATTTTTGTCTTTCCATAGGTATGAATCCTAGGACCCAGAATAAGGATTCTCTAGAAGACAATGTTTCTACCTCTCCAGAACCAAGTAAGAGGGGGCAGCTGACAGGGGAAGTAGGAGTGAGGGGGAGGGAGTGTGGGGTGATCAGAGCATGAGGAAGCAAGAGGAAGCCCTGTGGGAAGGGGGTGGTCTGGAAGTCCACACATCTGTGGGGTACGGAAAGGTGTTGTGGTGAAAGAGGACTCTTTGGACTCTCTGGAAAGTGAAAGGAGTGAGGCTGAATGAAATGTGATTCAGGGACACACAGGAAGGATAACAAATTTCCCACAATGTTCTTGTGCCAGTAGCCAGCTGGTCTTAGTCTTTCAATGCCTTATGATGTCTCTGGGGAAAAAGTTGGAAAGAAGTAATAGGCCATTACTGGAACCATTTACAGACCTATAGTTGAAAATATTTGGCTGGTTTGCATTCATTTGGATCATCCTTCTCTATTTAAGTAGCTATGCAATATCTAAATATCTACAGTAACAAAATAGCACAAAAAATCCTACCACGTGATAAACTTTATTTTATGTAGCAGTGATCAGTGGATATAAGTCACTGTGTCTTTTTGTCCCCTCTTACAATTAACTTAATAATCCTTTCACTATTTCTTCAGGTCTCTCCTATTAGTCATTTGTAATAGTGATATCAAGCACATTACTATATCCTGGTTTGAATAGTCATTTCTTACTGGTGACCATTGGATAGGTTCCTATTTTTTAGTGATAACATATAATGCAGGTGTAATGCATGGCGCAGTGGGTGTATTTTTTTCTTTTTTCTTTCGGTTCATGTCCTTAGATTATATTCCCCAAGGTATGACTGGCAGATTGATTATTTTCCAGAAAGCTGCCAACCATGAATAGATGATCCTATTTCTCTATAGCCCCAGCACTAGATTTTGTTACCTGTGTTCATCATTGTTATTTTAGTGCTTCTGAGGTGGAACTTCCTGAAAGGCCTACTTTTCAGGACCAGAAGATACCAGAGTTAGAAAAGAGGCTGCATTCTTTTCCCAGGGACAGAACATCATTAAACTTAGAATCAGGAATCTTTCTTATCATGGGATTTTGGACTAATCATTTAAATCCTTTGTTTCTTGCTGTGTGCCCAGCAGAAAACATTTCTACATGGTTTTTATAATCCTGAGGGTCAGTAAGATAGGGAGGGCCCGAGTGATCTAAGAGGGCATGAAGAAGCAGTCCTCTGTTTCTGGCTTCCTCAGTGGGGCTTTGATCACATATCTACTTTCTTTTTTTTTTTTCCTTTATTTTATTTATTTATTATTATTTTTTATTTCAGCATATTATGGGGGTACAGCTTTTAAGGTTTCAATAAATGCCCATTTCCCCCTCCTCCCGTATCTACTTTCTGTTCCTAGTTCTAACCAGGAAATAGGAATAATCTCACCCCCTTGTCTGCCATATAGGGAAATTGAGGTGATTAATTAGGCTATTCTAGGCTGTGTTTGAATTCCTCTGAAGTATTAATGAGTTAACAAGACCTGTGTAGACCATGGAGTTAGGCCCATTGCAGGTTAAATCATCTTTGTCAAGTCAGTAGTGCTACGTGGGGCATCTTCCTGCTGTGACTAAGCTCCCAAGCTTGCTTCTTCACTGACGTGAGGCCAATGTGAGGGCTGATGAGGCAACAGGGGCTACGCCACATTGTAAGCCGCATTGTAAGCCGTCTAGCACTGTACAAATATAAGGTGTGTGAGTATCCTGCTCAGGGCTCAAAGGCATAGAGTTTCTGCTTCATATTACGCCCTCTTAGAGATTTAAAAAAATAATCTTCACTTAAAGAGATAACTGCTCTAATACTTTAACTTAATAATTCTCAACTGGGGAGGATTTCACTCCCCAGGGGACATGTGTCAATGTCTGCAGACATTTCTGGTTTTCAGAACCAAGGGATGCCAGTGGCATGCATTTGAGTAGAGTCCAGTGATGCTGCTCAACCTCCTGCAATGCCCAGGACAGCACCCCCAATGCCCCAACAAAGATTTGCCTGGTTCAAAATGTCCATAGTTGCTGAAGTTGAGAAACCTTGCTTTAACTGAGGAGCAGGCAATTCCAGACAGACCCTTGTGGTCAGGCCCACCTTGCTGATTACAGCTTTCATTTCTGGATTATTAAACTCTGTCTTTTAAAGTCCTGGCCTTGTAACATTCCCAGACATCCTCATTTGATTTTTTCTCCTACCCTTTTGGATCTGTTACTTATTTTTGTGATTCTGAAAGTATTCCTTATTTCTGCTACTGTATGCTGTTTGCTCCCAAATCAGGCTGAGCTCTCCTCCTTTCCCCACCCAGCCACTCTGCAGTCCTTGGGAGAGGCTCGGGCTTGAGCCTTTCATCTGCTCTTGAAATGTTGATTTGCTTCGATGTGTAACTCTGCCTGCCCTGCAGTAACTTCACCCGCATTGCGGCTGTAGCTCATGATCAGCAGAAAATGAAAAGTATCAGCTGTGAATCCCATTTGCATGATGGGATTGGATAAGCATGTGCACTGCGTTGTCTAACAAACTCTGTTTCTCTCTTTCTCTTTCTCTCCTACCCCCTTTTCCTCTTCTCCCTCCCTATCCTGACAATTTGATCACCTTTTGCCATGAATTTTCCCTACCCTTCCTTTCCTTTCATACCCCGCCCCACATTCCAAACCTGCCATGGTGACCACTCGTACCTTTTTCCACTGTTACACGAGGCAGTTCTGACGCTGTCTGCTCCCCCTGTAGTGCCAGGCTTCTGTTGCACAGTTGGAGTGGACTGGAAGTCTCTCACTACTCCGGCGTGCCTCCCCCTCACCACCGACTACTTCCCTGACCGCCAGGGCCTGCAGAACGACTACACAGAGGGCTGTTATGATCTCCTCCCAGAAGCAGATATCGACAGGTCAGTGTCAGAGAAAAAGACACTCTGCTTGATTTATGAGGTTTCCAGATATATCCCAACATATGCATCAGAACACTGAATTTTCAAACCTGTGTCCTCCTTTTATATTTGGGAAATGGTATGATGTAAGAACTGTTAATTCCTTTAGAGTTCTATTGACATTAACAATTTCTCCTCATGGATGGTTCTCGTATTTTCTAATGCAGTTGTTTTTGGCACACTAAATCTGATCTCCTTTTCTGAGATTACTCATTTTACTCAGTTGGGCATTGAATTACCTGCCTTCTTTTTCCTCCTCTTTGAACTGATCGATTCTCCTAAAACTGGTTTACAGATGGTTAGTTTTATGAACTGCCATGGAATGGTTATCAGGGATAAAACCAAGCAGAGGATGGGACTGTGTACTCTGCCTCACTGCCCAGGCCAAGCATCCATGTGATCAACCGTGTTTTTCCAGGAGGGATGAGGAAGGCGTACAGATGACGGCCCAGCAGGTGTTTGAAGAGTTCATTTGCCAGCGTCTCATGCAGGGCTACCAAATCATTGTGCAGCCCAAGGCACAGAAACCCAACCCTGCTGTCCCGCCTCCACTGAGCAGTAGCCCACTCTATAGCCGAGGTGAGTTTTTCTCCTTGGACTCATATTTTTATTTTTTTTATTTATTTATTTATTTATTTTTTTTTTGAGACAGAGTCTCACTTTGTTGCCCAGGCTAGAGTGAGTGCCGTGGCGTCAGCCTAGCTCACAGCAACCTCAGACTCCTGGGCTCGAGTGATCCTTCTGCCTCAGCCTCCCAGGTAGCTGGGACTACAGGCATGCGCCACCATGTCCGGCTAATTTTTTTTATATATATATCAGTTGGCCAATTAATTTCTTTCTATTTATAGTAGAGACGGGGTCTCGCTCTTGCTCAGGCTGGTTTTGAACTCCTGACCTTGAGCAATCCGCCCGCCTCGGCCTCCCAAGAGCTAGGATTACAGGCGTGAGCCACAGCGCCCGGCCTCATATTTTTATTTTTTACTAAATTTGTGGGAATAGATTTTCAAGATGATGGGGAGTAGATAAATTAAGGAGTAATTGTTTTCAATGCAAAATTTTTCCTTCCAAATTTTATTTTACATGAGGAATAAAGTCTCCATTAGGTGCGGATTTATCTTGAATACTCTCTTTAAATTATAACTCTTAGCCGGGCACGGTGGCTCACACCTGTAATCCTAGCACTCTGGGAGGCTAAGGCAGGCAGATCGCTCGAGATCAGGAGTTCAAAACCAGCCTGAGCAAGAGCGAGACCCCGTGTCTACTAAAAATAGAAAGAAATTAATTGTCCAACTAAGGCCGGGCACGGTGGCTCACGCCTGTAACCCTAGCTCTCTGGAAGGCCGAGGCGGGCGGATTGCTCGAGGTTAGGAGTTCGAAATCAGCCTGAGCAAGAGCGAGATCCCGTCTCTACTATAAATAGAAAGAAATTAATTGGCCAAATAATATATAGAGAAAAAATTAGCCGGGCATGGTGGTGCATGCCTGTAGTCCCAGCCACTTGGGAGGCTGAGGCAGAAGGATTGCTTGAGCCCAGGAGTTTGAGGTTTCTGTGAGCTAGGCTGACGCCACGGTACTCACTCTAGCCTAGGCAACAAAGCGAGACTCTGTCTCAAAAAAAAAAAAAAAAAAAATTGTCCAACTAAAAATATATAGAAAAAATCAGCCGGGCATGGTGGCACATGCCTGTAGTCCCAGCTACTCAGGAGGCTGAGGCGGGAGGATCGCTTGAGCCTGGGAATTTGAGGTTGCTGTGAGCTAGGCTGACACCATGGCACTGTAGCCCAGGCAACAGAGTGAAACTCTGTCTCAAAGCAAAAAAAAAAATTACAACTCTCCTTTAAGGAAGAGGATGTGACCAAGTTTGGGAATGGTGCAGGCTGGCTTGAACAACACCCAGGAGCAGCAGGCATCTGAGCCAATACTGAGCTGTCAGAAGTATACAGTGAATATTCTAACCCCAGAAAACTGCATTTAATTGTTAGTAGCACAGTCCCCGGTACATGGCAGGTTCTCAGGTGTTACCTAAACCTGAAGTTTATACTTGTTCTTTTTTTTTTTTTTTCTTTTCCTATTCTGGGTTCGTCTTTCTCTTATTTATCACTGAAGTTTAGTGACTTGAATCAAGAATGGGTCATCTATGAGTGGCAGAAGCTAATAAGTGACAAAATTGGTGACGCTAATTGAATTAGAGCAAGGCTGTGTAGCACGCTTCTAAAATATGTCTAACAGAAAGAATTAAGTGTGGGAGCCTAGAATTAGCAGGACTCACGTCCTTGAACAATCAGTGAGCTATCTTAGTCTTCTGCTTCCTCATTACTGCTAATGAAACCCCCTGCACTCCCTTAATCACCTAGTTCTAAACCCCACATCATCTTTGGCTCCACGAAACCTCCTCTGGCCAGAGGGCCAGACAAGTATGGACCTGTTAGAGGGAGTTCAGTGGTCATCCAGGCCAGGCCCTGTTGTTGGCAGATGAAACTTTGGACTCCCTCTGGATTTTCTTTGAAACCACCTTCTGACTTTTATCGCATGTTGCCTTCTGTTTATATTCCAGACTCTACTGAATATTAACCTTTTCAAGTGCCAGAACTATTTCTAGTTCATCTTTTTATCCTCTACAATGGAAACCTTGGTGCCTGGCACACTACAATATGGATCAGGACAACAAATATATGAATCATTCATTCACTCATTTATTTAACAATATCTTTGAAGCTTCTACTCTGGGAAGGGATTTATAGCCCAGTGGGGAAAAATAACAGTCAAAGTATGAAATATAATTACATGTTGTGATATGCACTGTGAGAGAAAAGTCAAGGGGCTGTGAGGATATTTAATACATGGCCTGATCTGGCCTGAAGGGTTAGGAATGGCTTCCTCGAGGAAGTGATGTTTGAGCTTAGACCTGAAGTACGTGCGGAGGTTATTAGAAGTAGGTTGGGAGTGGAGAGTGGGAAGAGAAAGAAGAGTATGTGAGGGAGGCTGAGGGATTGGTTTGTGCAAAGGCCCTTGCAGCAGGAGACATTGTGATACTTTTAGGGACCAAAAAGAAGGCTAGTGTGATGGAGCACAAGGAGTGAGCCAGAGATGCAGCCAGAGATATCAAGAGACCTCATAGGACTATGTGAAGGATTTTGTTCTTTATCCCAAGAACAGTGGAATGAATTCTCATTTAGTGTAACTGGACCTATCTAGTCTGCCCACTTGCTTTTCTCTCGAATGGCTGGTCGATGACCCTATAATAATTCCTCTAGTGTCCAGTTCTGTTCCTGGCTGATTCATGAGCCTCCTGTGATGGCTAGCTGGCCAGAGGCTACTTGCCTGACTATTATTTTTCTTTTTTAATAAATTTAATCTCTCTCATTTCTATAGTAACAGAAATGGTACAGTTGTTGTTTAATTACTGGCAAAGTTGCCATCATAACCAAACCTGTGCTGCTCATTCATCACAGATTTATTGAATAGTGAATGTGAGCCAGGCCCTGTTATGGCAGGGAATAGAACAGCATTGGCCCTGCCCTCGGGGTTCACAGTCCACTGGGCGAGACAGATGTTAAACTAGTAAACCACAATTATATATTTGATCATAAATTGTGAAGAATACTGTGCAGGATAAAAACAGAGATAACTTGGGTGTACCAAACTTAGAATAGGATATCAGGGTACCATACTAAATGTTTGTGAATATTATCCTATGACAGTATCTTCCTGACAGCCAGCAGGGTATTTGTTGTGTAAATTAAGGAATGTTGGGATGGGGGCATGCTCTCTTTCTAGTTGCAGAAAGCAAGACTCAGAGAGATTTGCTGCCCGAGATCACACAGCTGGCAAATGAAAGAGCTGGGGTTTAGCCTGGAATCCCATGAGTCAAAGCCTCACCTCTTTCTTATATGCATCTGGCATGCTGCTCCCTTAGCATCATCTGGGAAATTTCCACATTCACAGTAAAAGTTCTTTGAGCCTTTGTCCTCCTGACCACTCCCATGCTGCCTAGCACTGTGTGACTATCTCTCAGCTGAACCAAAGGGCTGCATTTCATTTGTAGACCAAAGAAATTTTGGTTTGGCTCAGTTCTTCCAGGCACAATTATTATTCTCTTGAATACTTGTTATTTTCTTGATTCATCATTATTTTCCTCTTTCCTATGTTCAACTAATATTTTTTGAATGCCTGAAGCTGGATGTAATGGCTCATGCCTGTAATCCCAGCAACTCAGGAGGCTGAGGTGGGAGGATCTCTTGAAGCCAGGAGTTTAAGACTAGCCTGGGCAACGTAGTGAGATCTTATCTCTAAAAAAATTTTTTAAATTAGCTGGGTGTGGTGGTGCATGCCTGTAGTCTCAGCTACTGGGGAGGCTGAGGCTGGAGGATCTGCTTGAGCCCTGGAGTTCGAGGCTGCAGTGAGTTATGATGTACTCCAGCCTGGGTGACAGAACAAGGCCCTGTCTCAAAAAAAACCCCACAAAAAACAAACAAAACAGTAGTTCTGTTCCTCCTGGAACTTTTAGTTTATAAGGATATGAGAGAGACACACAGAAGGAGCTACATACAAGGTAGAATTTAGACTGCTGGTGGGATCTGACAGCTTTCTGGAGAAAGTGGCGTTTGATACTGACTTTAAGTGATCCATAGGATTTCAATGGTGAGAAGGCAGAAGAAGCAACCCAAGCAAATGTTTCGAGGAAGGAAATTGCAGCAAATAAATCAATGGTCTTTTGAGACTGAAATTTGAATAAGCAATGTGGGAGTAGAGGCCAGAAAGCTGGGTTGGTGCTACCCTGGGGCGAGGACCTCACATGCCAGGGTGGGCAGCTTGTGCTTCGGTGAAGTGGAGTTCCATTTCAGTTCCACAGTTATCTCTTAGCATATTAACATTTACTCCAGAACATTCTTCCACAGAGGATGAAACATCAGGTTTTTCAGCTTTGAGGGTGTCATCTAGGTGCTATCAGCACCCTCAGGCTCTGAGCTGCTGCTGGTTGGTTTAGTAACAGAAAAATAAACCAACCTCAGGACTTTTTTTTTCTTTTTTTTTACTTTTTTATACTTTCTTTGCCTTTTTTTTTCTTTGCAGACTAAACTTGGTCACTGAAGGAAGACTTTTTTTTTCTTAACCAAGAACAGCTTTCTTTCATGAAACTGTCCCTCAAAAGCAAAGCGTTGTCTCTTCTTCCCTGAATCCTTATGAATGAGGAGCAATTGCGTGTTGTAAGAATGAGCTTCAGCTAGCTGGAGGAAAGTTATCATTTTTCTCTGTTAGGTCTTGTGTCCCGAAACCGCCCCGAGGAGGAAGACCAGTACTGGCTGAGTATGGGCAGAACTTTCCACAAAGTGACACTGAAGGATAAGATGATCACAGTGACACGGTACCTTCCCAAGTGAGTCCTTGGATGTTTAAGGTGTTTGGCTATTGTCCTAGATTATGTCCGAGTACTAAATTATGTGTATAGTACATAATTCAAACCAAGGAAGTTGAGTGATTGTTTTTTTTTTTTCTTCTTGGAGTTTTTGTTTTGTTTCCTAGGGTTCTTTTAGGGTTTTAGCTTATCTTCCAAAAGGGATTTGATTCATCTTACAATGTTTAGCATGATTCATAACAAGCCAATTAAAAATTAAGAATGTGAGGAGATAATGCATATATCAGCGTAACAGTTGCACCTGTACCCCATAAATATACACAAATAATAATAAAAGAATGTGAGGAGAGAAGAATGAAAAAGTTTAACAAGATCTGAGAAATTTCCTTTACAGTTCCCTGGGATGAGCTGGTTACTACAGTTGAGGGTTGAATTCTAAGAATGGTGCTAAGTGTGTAGAGACAGAAAAGGTAGAGGAGAATTAGGGGGAATTCTCCTTTTGAACTTCTGGGCCTGCCCTTTATTTTCCAGGTACCCTTATGAATCTGCCCAGATCAACTACACCTACAGCCTCTGCCCTTCCCACTCAGACTCGGAGTTCGTCTCCTGCTGGGTGGAATTCTCCCACGAACGGCTGGAGGAGTACAAGTGGAATTATTTAGATCAGTATATCTGCTCTGCAGGCTCCGAGGACTTCAGGTCAGAGAGTGGGCTTTGGCCTTCCATCCTGGTAGCCTTGAGTGTATGTGTATTTTAACAGTTTGTGTCCTTTTTTCCTGATGGCAAAGTAATGACTATTTTAGGGAAAAAAGGAAAAGCAAAAGTACGTCTGCATTGGGTTAAAAACTCAATCATGAGATGGATAGTGGTGACGGTTGCACAACAGTGTGAATGTACTTAATACCACTGAATTGTCCATTTAAAATCTGTTAAAGTAAATTTTGTTATGTATATTTCACCACAATTGAGAAAAATAAAACAAAACTCAGTGATGATGTGCTCCCTGATGCAAGTGTCAGTGCAGATCATGTTCTTAACAGCTTCCTCAATAGTTGGCTGGTAGCTTTGTGGTGTCTCATTTTCAGTGTTTGATTTTTTGTGTGTGATTTATGATTGTGGAGATACAAAAACCACAACTTCATTTGGCCTGGGTGCACAGAGCATTCTGAAATCTCCGGGATTTAAAGCAAAAGCAATCTTTGTGCTCTTCCTTTAGAACTTACGTTTTCAGCGAAGCCATGAGCTGTAGTGTCAGATGAACATGTACTCTTGGGGAGGTGGGCCCTCACACAGCCACTCCAGAGGGTGTTCACTGGGAGCACTTTCATTATCTCTTTTCCTCATCACCACTCTGTGTTTTCCTTGGCCCTATGTAGCTTAATTGAGTCTCTGAAGTTCTGGAGGACCCGCTTTCTGCTGCTGCCAGCCTGTGTCACCGCCACCAAGCGCATCACAGAGGGGGAGGTGCACTGCGACATCTATGGGGACAGACCCCGTGCAGATGAGGACGAGTGGCAACTCCTGGATGGCTTTATCCGCTTTGTGGAGGGCTTGAACCGGATCCGCAGACGACATCGGTCAGATCGCATGATGCGGGTGAGGGTTCCTTGGACTCTCTGGAACCCAGGCATGGTCTGAGATGTAGGATCTGCCTCCTCCTATCTCAGGGTCTTCTCTTCAATCAGTTTATTTATTCCACAACTGCCCAACACTTATCGTAAATCCAAAACAGTGTGTTCTTCTCCATTGCAGGGTGAAGGAGGGAGGGATTGGTGCCAGACAGCAACTGGGCAGTGTTCCTTGGCCTTGAGCCACCCCTTTCTGCCTGAGGACACAGGTTTGATGTGTTCCCCAAGTGGGACCCAATGTTCAGCGTAGCTGCTTGTGCGATTCAGTGCTGAATTGCTGAGTAGAAACTCTTAGGAGGCCAACAGCAGTGATCCTTCCTTACTCTTCTATCACATTTAGAGTTTCTAGCATGCTCATGCCTCATTTCAGTCACACACTGCTCAGTGGGGAGACTGAGGCTCATGGGGGTGATGGAATATGTCTGAGGCCACCCAAACATGAGGAGCAGATCTGGGATTCAGTATGGTTTTGTTTTAATTAACATATAGTATAATTGACCTCTGTGTGTGGGTTTGTGTGTATAGGCCTATGAATATTAACCATTGTATAGATTCTTGTAACCACCACCACAATTAGGATGCAGAATAGTTCCATCACTTTTTAAAAAATATCTTCATGCTACTCTTTTGGTCACATTTTGCCCCATCTCTAATCCCTGGCAACCACTGGTCTGTTTTGTTTGTTCCAAATGCCACAGAAAATGGAATCATACAATATGTAAGCTTTTGAGGCTCCTTCCTTTCACTTAGCCTAAAACTTTGGGGTTCTTGTAAGCTATTGTGTCTATCAGTAGTTCATTCTCTTTTTTTTTTTTTTTTTGAGGCAGAGTCTCCCTTTGTAGCCCAGGCTAGAGTGAGTGCCGTGGCATCAGCCTAGCTCACAGCAACCTCAAATTCTTGGGCTCAAGCAATCCTCCTGCCTCAGCCTCCTGAGTAGCTGGGACTACAGGCATGTGCCACCATGCCCAGCTAATTTTTTCAATGTATTTTTAGTTGGCCAATTAATTTCTTTCTATTTTTAGTAGAGACGGGGTCTCACTCTTGCTCAGACTGGTTTTGAACTCCTGACCTTGAGCAATCCACCCACCTCAGCCTCCCAGAGTGCTAGGATTATAGGTGTGAGCTACCGCACCCGGCCTAGTTCATTCTTTTTAATCACTTGGTGGTGTTTCATCATCAGCTGTGTCCTTATTTTTGTGTTTTTAACCACAAATTCAGAATTCTTCTTCCCTCACCAGCTGCCTTTTGTACACAGTATCACTTATGATTAGGAACATTTCCGGGAGAGCTTGTATAGTGGAAAGAACTTTGGTTTTGAAGTGAGGTCACTGGAGTTTGAATTCTAACTCCAGTGGGATTTGGGGTAAATTTCTTAACCTCTCGGAGCCTCTGTTTCTTTTTTTGTAAAATAGAGATAACGTCATTTACTTCATAGAGCTGTGGTGAGGGTAAAATGAGATGATGCACAAAGAGGCAGGGTTTTTTTGTTCTCCAGGCAGTGAGTGAAAAACAGTTTTTTGTCATTTACTGAACACCAAGAACCCATGTTCCTTGACCCTGTTCATTGGATCCAGAGCCTGAGGATGCAGCAGCAGGTGCTGGGGCGTGAGTGGCTTCTACTGAGAGAGCCCACCTGGAGTGATGACCTTGTCTCCTCTTCTCTGGTTTAGAAAGGGGCCACCATGAAAGGCTTGCAGATAACCGGGCCTATTCCCACGCACTCTCTCGAGTCAGCCGGCCCTCCAGTTGGGAAGAAGGGAACCTCAGCTCTGTCTGCCCTGTTGGAGATGGAGGCCAGTCAGAAGTAAGTGCTGGGTGGGAGGGTGACTCGTCCCTACCTCACAGGCCAGAAGGGTTTTTTGTGCCTGACTCCTGTGATCAGGGTGAAATAGGATTTCCTTGTGTAAGAAACCTATAATTAAGAAGAAGACATTTACATGAAAAGAAAACTAGGCTAATACCTGCTAAGTATCAAACAACATGCAATAGGCCAGAAATTATAAACTCATAGTCTGGGGTTTAATTTGAACTATGGTCACATTTAGTTTGGCTCACAAAGTGTTTTTAACATGTTTGAGCCAGATTTTTTAATTTGAAGATTTCATATAAAAACCTAGATTTTATGTGAATTTTTATATGAAAAAATATATAACATATATATGCTGTGATGCATAATTATATAAAACTATATGACTATGACTATATTATATATAATATACAGTAGTCTCCCTTATCTGCAGTTTCACTTTCCACAGTTTCAGTTACCCACAGTCAATAGTGGTCCAAAAATAGGTGAAAACACCACATATACTCACCAGCAAATTGGTTTCACTGATCAACACCTAAGTGGACATATAGGAATAACATTTATCGGGCATCAGGCAGGTGGGTGGGGGGAGGAGGGGATGGGTATATACATACACAATAAATGCTACGCACACCTTCTGGGGGATGGACACGGTTGAAGCTCTGACCTGAGGGGCGTGGGGGGGGGGGCAAGGGCAATATACATAACCTTAACATTTGTACCCCCATAATATTCTGGGAAAAAAAGTTAAAAGTAATGTTAAAAAAGAGTTCAAAAAATACCTATTAAGGAAAATAAAAAGATTGGTACAGGAAATAGGGAAATTGAGTCTGGGATGTAGGATTTTTTTTCTTTAAAAGATACAGAAAAATAAACAGTGTATAACACAAAAATGCTGTAAGATTATCAAGTATAATAAATTATATATTTATTAATTCAAAAAAAACAAAAATAGGTGAAAACAGTATACTTAGTTGAGAGAGACCACATTCACATAACTTTTATTACAGATTATGCTTATAATCATTCTGTTTTATTGTTAATTTTTTACCGTGTCTAATTTATAAATTAAACTTTATTATAGATATGTATATATAGGAAAAACATAGTATACATAGGCCTTGGTACTCTCCATGGTTTTAGGTATCCACTGGGGGTCTTGGAACATATCTCTATAGATAAGGGGTGGACTACTGTAATGCAAAATTATATTACAGATAGTATATAAAATCCAGCTTTGCTTGAAATAGCAGAGGCTCAATACTGGGTCCATGTTTGTACCCAGCCATGGTGGGCTGGCACTCACCCTCTGGTCTTAGACTTGTCTTGCACCCTCAGTCATGCTACGCGGCTGGCTACTGTAGCCATTTGAGTGTGTGGCCCCTTTCTAAATAGAAGGTGCTACATTTGACAGGACACCAGGGGGACTACACTTGTTTGGGAGGGCAGGGAGAGTGTCACTGGAGGTGGGATTTAAGTTGGCCTTGTAGGAAGTGAAGCATATATACAGGGGAGAGATGGGACATGGGGAAAAGAGAAAATATTTCCATGTGCAGGTAGGACCTGCCTTGGGGGCATCCTTCTCTGCCCCTCTTGTCCTCCCAGCTAGATCAGGCTCTTCTCTATGCATGCCAGCATCCTGGGCCTACATCCATCAGAGCACTGACCAGTATTCTACTGAGGGCTGTGATCGTCTGTTTACTTCCACCTGACTTAACTGTGTGCTCTAGGGCAAGGGCTGTGTGTCCTGCCTGGCACATAGTACGTGCGTGATAGATATTTATTGAATGATGGAGGACGGGCTGCTGAGGGTCTCCCTGTACAGATATGGGGGGCGTGTGTTAGGGGAGACTAGACCTTGTCTGCATGGTGTGAGGGCCTGCGTCATGCCGACAGGAGCCTGCACACGTTGGGGTTTTAGGAACTAACATTGAGGGAGTGAGCAAGTGACCAGGAGGTATGGTGGGAGATGCAATTGGAAAGACAGTGTGGAAAGTTGGTTGCCAGGCTGTCCTTACACATTCTCTTTTTCAAAGAATCCTTAGCAAATTTATTTTATTTTATTGGAAAATTTGAAGCAGATAAGAAAATGTAAACAGACTAGTATTAATATAATAAACCCTCTTTACCCATCACCCAGCTTCAGTGATGATCAACTCATGGCTGATCTTGTTTCATTTCTAGCCCACTTGTGTTCACCTTTCCTTTTATTTTTTTAAATCAAATTCCACATATCATTTCCCCTCATCTGTAATATTTCAGAATTTATCTCTGAAAGATAAGTACTCTTTAAAAAAAAACACCATGATATTATAATTTACCTTAAGAATTACAAATAGTTCCTTAATATCCTGAAATATCCAATCAGTGTCTTTGGCAGAAGTGGTTTTTTCAGAGACGAGCCTCCCGTGTGGGAAGGCTTGGTGGGTGGGCACCAGGAGGCAGAGTCCCACTGGGAGGCTCCCACTAGTCCAGGCAAGAGGCAACCAGGGCTGGGTGGAGGCTGATGGTGAAGTGGAAATTTGGAAGGAATGAAGAACCAATAGGGTGCTTGGGGTGGGGGGCAAATGAGAAAAGGAAAGCTGGGATAGTTCGGGCTCATTGCTGGGGGCACTGGGTCTTCTTTTGAAAATATCTTTATCAGACCAAGGAAAGACCCCAGAACTCTGTGTGACAGGTTCTCCCTGTAACTAATCATAGACCTTTCTCACTGGAAAAAGAGAACAAGGAACATATGTTGCTGGGAGGAGTGTGAAGCTGGGGGTGAAGGGATCTTATTTTAATTTGTCCGTGAGTCATTGTTTAGTATGTACCAAGGAGCCTCTTTCTGCTCAGACTGAAAGAAGGAGGGTATCTTGGGGTAGTAGTCCCCTCAGTGTGAAGGATGAGACTGTCTTCTAATCCCATGGCAGGAGGCAGGACAAAGAGATTCAAGGCTCGTTCCTTGGCCCAGAAGACTGCTCCTGGGAAAAGTGCTGTATTTTCTAAAAGCTGGAGGTAGAGTAGAGAGAGCCAGACCTTTATGTAATGTTTGCTCACACAGCATTTTTTATTTGTATGTTTTTCTTTTCCTTTTGCTGCATCAAGCAGATTCAATTTTACTTATTATGGAAAAAATGTTACAGCAATATGAAAGAGTTTTTAAAATTCCACCTATAGTCCTACCATCTTACCGTAACTGTGTTTATTTCTTCCAGTTCCCTTCCAACTTTCATCTGTAGGCATATATTGCACTTTTAGTCAGCCTCCTGTGGAAGCCTCTTGAGTCTCAGCTTTGTACCGATTAACAGCGGTGTGACCGGTCTGGGCAGCTGGTGCTAGCCAGTGAGCGTCTCTGCTCCTGTTAGATGAAGATGATCCAGTGACAGCTGAGTAGGGCAGAGAGAGAGAGAGAGACGCCTACACACCCCCACGCAGATGGATGTTCATGTTTTATCCAAAGTGGCTCTAGTGTGTGCTTGTGGCTCAGAGCTCCGTGATGGAAGCATGCCAACAGTATGACACAGCACAACATGTACCTGCAGAGGCATGTGAAGGGCATTTGCATGTTTTACTCTTCTTGCCTCTGGGTAGGCTGTATCTTCCTTCTGCCCACCTTTCAAGGCCCACCTAGTGTATATATGTCACTACCTCTGTGGAGGCCTGGCTGGTGACGCCCCTCCTGGCAGAATACACTGTGCCCTCATGTATGTTCTCACGTATGCGTTGTAACTGTCGTTTTGTGGCAGTCCCCTCTCCCCTAGCCATTAGACAAAGAGCCTGTAAGGGCAAGGACGAGGTCTTCCTCATCTCTGAATCCCTGATTCCTAGTCCACGGGTCAGCACATAGAAGGCACCTCAGTAGATTGTCGTGTGCATCAGATAACTCATTTGAGAAGGTACTGGGGTTAACTGAGGCTTCCTGCCACCATAGCCTTCAGGAAGTGCAAGAGAATGTGACTGTGCATTTGTGGATGAGGCTCCAAGAAAACATACTGTGGTGTGACAGAAAGAGAGAGAGTGGGTGTGGTGACAGTGGACAAGGGAAAGAATCAAGCGTCTATTCTGCTTTTCCTCTATGAATTACACCTCAGACTAACCAAGTAATTGGTGTGGGGGAAGTTTCTCTTTTTAAAATATCCCCACTAATAAATCCAGAAGGAATGCTAGAATATCAGTATGTATAATCTCTGATGAATGAATGAAGCCAGCAAAAATCATCAGTGGCAGCTAACTTCACTAGAAAGAGGCATCCAGATATTCTGGGCCTCTAGAGAGAAGTACACAACACCACATAGGAAGGATTCTGGCCCAGAATTGAACCAAAATCTACTCATACATACCTCTTGATATAACTTCTAATTCTCAGGAATTGCAGGGCACAGAGGAACATGTTAAACTATAGAGGTATGTAATCAGCACATCCAGACTATGTAAAATTACAGGAAAAATGAGCTACTTTCTTTCTTTCTTTTTTTTGTGTTTTGAGACAGAGTCTCACTCTGTTGCCCAGGCTAGAGTGAGTGCCGTGGTATCAGCCTAGCTCACAGCAACCTCAAACTCCTGGGCTCAAGCAGTCCTACTGCGTTAGCCTCCCGAGTAGCTGGGACTACAGGCACGTACCACCATGCCTGGGTAATTTATATATATATATATATATATATATATATTTTTTTTTTTTTTTTTTTAGTAGAGACAGGGTCTTGCTCTTGCTCAGGCTGGTCTCAAACTCCTGAGCTTAAACAGTCTGCCCGCCTCAACCTCCCAGAGTGCTAGAATTACAAGCATGATCCACCATGCCTGACCCAGCTACTTTCTTTAACAAACTGCAAGGATAAGGAAAGAGGAAGAGGAGCTTATCCCCCAAAGGAGACTTGAGAAAAAACATAACTTATAGCAGTGTAGGGACCTTAATTGAGTCTTCTTTTCAACAAACAAACTGTAAAAAAAATTATTTTGAGGCAATTGGGGAAATATTTGATATTAGAAAAATTTGAAACATTTTTATAAGTTACTTTGTTTTAGAAATACTGATGTGTTTGTGGATGAAATATGTGAGTTCTGCTTCAAAATAATTGGTGTGGGCAGGTGAGGGTATACATGAAACAAGATTGGGTCTAAATATATAATTTTGGTGGCTGCATATATAGGAGTTATCCTCTTTTGTATATGTTTGAATTTTTTCATAATAAAAATTTTTAAGGGAGAGAATGCAACAGGTTACTATGGAAACAGATTTTTAATCCCCAGTAAAAATCTGGGGATTTTTAATCCCCAGAATGTGATTACTTCAAGATTAGTAACAAAAATGTCAAGATTTAAGATGAGAGGAGTGTTGCAGGTTGGGTTCTTGGGAAAGCCAACTGAGGTGGGGTTTAGCAAGTAGGATGTTTATTAAGAAGAGTCCTTGGGCTCAACACTGGTAGGAGGGAGGGGACAAACAGGAGTGGACACAAGGAGAAGCTGAGCTGCAACCCAGGCCCAGTGACAATGGCAGGCTACCCCATAGAATCTCTGGAGCCAGAACAGCCATGGTTTGGGCCAACGAGGCCAGGCCTTTACACACACACACACACACACACACTCTCTCTCTCTCTCTCTCTCTCTCTCTCTCTCTCTCTCTCTCTCTCTCAGTTGCATTTTATAAGTAATAGATAAGCACCAGGTGCTGCCAGCATGCTTTTTAAATTGGGCTGTTTTCTGATTTACTGTCGAGGACCAGTGATTGATCAGCACAATAAATGCATTAAAGGCATCATGAAGGGCCTGAAGGAGAAGCAAGGCAGAAGTATTTGTTTCAAAGAAAAAACAACAGAATTGTCTTCGTCTCAGTTAAGATGGATCCTTCACCAGAGAGCTCCGTGCAAGCTCCAGTCCTGTATTCTCCTCCTTTCAGGTGCCTAGGAGAACAGCAGGCAGCTGTGCATGGTGGGAAGAGCTCCACCCAGCCAGCCGAGAGCAGCAGTGTTGCCATGACTCCCACCCACGTGGACAGCCCACGAAAGGTAAAAGAGGCCACCCCAGCGGGGAGCTGCTGCATGATCTCAGAGACCCAGCGTGGAGGGTAAAACGGGTTAGCCCTTCGAATCCAGGATTGAATGTGTTGGGGCTTTGGATGAATTCTACCTCAAACCCTTTTAAGATTCTATACTGTTACTATTTTCATCCAGGAACTTTGTTGCTCACAGTAGTAAGGAAGCTAACTTCTAGCTAAATGCAGATAAAAGAATAGTCAAGCTAAACTATATTGGTCAGTGCCCAAGATCTGGCTTGAGCTTTGAAAATGGCTGTCTTGTTTTCTTTCAACCTCATCTTTAGCTGTCCCAGAGGGAAGTAGAAAGCTACCAAAGCAGCTTCCACAATAGCTCACTCTTCTTTGATAATGAAATTCCCATTAGTTCTCTTAGACTGCTGAGAAATACAGTCCAATGGGAGCATCCTGGGAGGGAAAATACATAAAACCCTGAAACTTTAGACCTCTATCAGGAATTGAAGTATATAGTGAGGGACCAAAAACACCATAGATCAAGCTTTTTGTATCTTTTAAGGCCAATAGACTTGGCTCTGTCAGCTCCCTCTTTTGGGAAATTCAGACTTTAGAGCATTCTGTTGTGGGGTGAGTTGACTGTATATTTTCTATCTGTTCTCCACTCCTAGGAGATGAAAGAGATTCAATAGATATATGTTATATTTTTTAAAATTGTGGTCGAATTGTATATCTATCCCTGTATTTAGTTAGTTTATTTTCATATCATAATTTTCTGTCATTAAATATTTTTCAAAAGCATTATTTAAAAAAAAGCTATATTATATTTATATATTATATATAATATTTCATCATATGAATAGACCTTCATTTATACCTTTATTTTGTTAAAAATGTAGATGGTTTCTGAATTTTAAAATAATTTTTGATAGTCTGTAAATTTTTACAGTTATTCTACAGTATATCACAATTATAAATAATGTTGCAATGAACATCCTTATACTTGTTATTTGACCACATCTCTGATATTTCCTTAGCATAAATTGCTAGAATTAGACTAGTGGAGGTGGAGGAATTAAAATCTGAGATAGAGAATCAACTATGGTCACAGGCAGTTTGTAGACTTTTTATAGACCAGAGGTTGGCAAACCTAAATACGTATTTTAGGCTTTGTGGGTCAAGAGGCAAAATAAGGCTATTGTGTAAGTACATTATTTCCATAACTATTTAAAACCGTAAAAAACATTCTCGGCTCACACTATTAAAAAACCATGTGGCTGGCCAGAGTTGTCATGCAAACTATAGTTTGCCAACCTCTGCTCTAGGGAGTGGCTTTAGGTCCCAAGGATAGTCTGTGCATAAAGAATGATCTGTTGGTGTAGAGTCCTCCATGTGTCCCTAAATCTCAGTATTATCAGTTTCTCTGCTTCTGTAAGGCACACAAATGGAACAGTGATATACCTAAGTACCATATGTGCTATCCACCAGCTGTTACCTCTACTCATTGCTGTCTTTGAGGATTAGAAACAATGCCAAGACCATAATACTGAAAAGTAGAGAAATTATAGAGTTGTTATGTAAACATTAAGATTAAAATGCACCAAAGACCAAATATTAGATGGCTGTTTAAAACATTCTCCTGATCTTCCAACTGAACACTAAAATCTACATGTCTGAGCCATCAGTAGTGTTGGATGTAGACTCCTGGGTAGTCAAGGGAAAACAAAGATGCTATGAGATGGCCAAAGTGAAGAACCCTGCTGATTTTCTCAGAAATGCCCAACCGAGTCTCCAGGTGGCATCTCATGTTAGCATGCATGGCAGTTACCTGCATCTGCACCTCCAGAGCCACAAGTTTCCAACGTTTGTTACTTGAGTTTATAGTCACTTATGAGAGGTGGCAGCAGTATTGTTAAATGGACACCCATTTGAGTTATTCTACTTTTCAAATTGAGGAAACTTGTAGGAAAGTAGGAACCTTGCAACTTATCAAGTGCTGATTCTGAATTTCTGTGATAATCAAGCATAAAAAGTAAAAAGATTCTGAAGGGACAGAGGGTACTACTTAAGAAAGATGGAAGGAGTGGTCATTGGAAAAGTCTTCTGTGTCATTCTTTTTTTTTTTTTTTTTGAGACAAAGTCTCACTCTGTTGCCCTGGGCTAGAGTGCCGTGGCGTCAGCCTACCTCACAGCAACCTCAAACTCCTGGGCTCAAGCGATCCTCCTGCCTCAGCCTCCCGAGTAGCTGGGACTACAAGCACACGCCACCACACCTGGATAATTTTTCTATTTTAGTTGTTTGGCTAATTTCTTTCTATTTATAGTAGAGATGGGGTCTCGCTCTTGCTCAGGCTGGTCTCGAACTCCTGAGCTCAAGCGATCCGCCCACCTCGGCCTCCCAGAGTGCTAGGATTACAGGTGTGAACCACCATGCCCGGCCCTTCTGTATCATTCTTGTTTCAAATACATGGCCACCTGAACCCCACAAGGGTAGACTGTGGATGGCTGGGCGTGGTGGCTCACGCCTGTAATCCTAGCTTTATGGGAGGCCGAGGTGGGAAGATTGCTTGAGCTCAAGAGTTCGAGATCAGCCTGAGCAAGAGCGAGACCCCATCTCTGCTAAAAATAGAAAGAAATTAGCTGGATAACTAAAAATATATAGAAAAATGAGCTGGGTGTGGTGGCGCATGCCTGTAGTCCCAGCTACTCGGGAGGCTGAGGCAGTAGGATTGCTTGAGCCTAGGAGTTTGAGGTTGCTGTGAGCTAGGCTGATACCATGGCACTCTAACCCGGGCAACAAAGTGAGACTCTGTCTCAAAAAAAAAAAAGGGTAGGCTGGGGAGAGGAAGACAGCTGTAGGAAGCCCCTCACAATGAATCCTTCTGTATCTGACATCATGTATGTCTTAGCTTCTTCACGATTTTGTTACACTACCAGTGGAGGAGAAGGTATGGTGGCTGCTTCTGTATGCTGTTTGCTCAGAAAATTAAGCAAGAACTTATCCTGCATTGAATCCTCTTCTCCCATCTGGCTGCCATATTTAGTAACAAGCAGAAAAACCTCATGCCTCAGTGCCTCTCTTCAAGAGTGCTGCTAGTCACCCAGCCAAGTGGGAGGCCAGGATGCTGCCACTAAAGCCTTTCCCCTGCCAGCCCCACCAAGCTGCTTTGTGGCCTTTCCCTCTTCCTTGGCATAGGTCTGAAGGAATTTCAGAACTATGTGGGAGGGTGAGAGTGTCCAGGCCACACTCTGATGAGACCTGAGGGAGCTTGGACACACCTTCTAACCTGGGTGATTTCTCCCACACGGATGGGATAGTCTGCCCAGGAAGGTGTGAGTTTCTGCTAATGCTTTGCATTTGGATAGTATCTTTCTGGGTAGATTTCTCTCTTTCTTCTTTTTTTTTTTTTATGTTCCCTAATCCCCTCATGTCCTTGTTTCTCTCCTTCCACCCTTGTTTTTACGTTTATTTTTATTTTTCATACTTCTCTCCTTCCCTTGGTGGTTAACTGCTGGTACACATTCGTTTCTTCGCTTCCTTGCACCTGCTGCTGCTGCTGCTGCTGCTTCCTCCTCCTCTGACCTCAGGACGGCGCCTTCTTTATGGAGTTTGTCCGCAGCCCACGCATGGCATCGTCCACCTTCTACCCTCAGGTTAGTCAAACTCCAGGGCTCCGCATGCCTGTCCCACCGGCAGGAGCCACGAGCTGGCCTTCTGTTTGGCTCTGAACAGATGGAATTGGGCTGAAACTGAGTTTGAGGGGCAGTTGAAATTAATATGGTCTCAGAAATGTACATTCCCTTCCATGGTGTTTGTGGCAGTGAAGGGAGATGGAAGGGATTAATGTAAGAGAGCCAGTAATTGTACCACTGTTGACTCGAGTGTTTCTCACAGCTGCCTGTGTGTTTCGCATAGTTGCCACTGATTCTCTGCCACATTGCGGCACCTTCCCTTTTAGGCTGTATAAGTAACATGAAATATGCTTACTCAAGGACTGAATACTTATTTTTTTTTTCCTCCCAGTACAACCAGATAAATTTATAACACTGTGGCAGGAAGTGGTGAAAAACAGAGCAAACATTTGTTATTAGACATGCACTATATCATAGGCTAATGGTGTAGCTCTACTACCCTCTGGGCTTCCCTTAACTTATTTGTCAAATAAAGGGTTTGGACCAGATCTCCAAGGGCCTTCAAAGCCTTGAAATTCTTCACTTACTATATGCCAAGCACATGTATTATTTTATCCTCACAGCCTACAAGTTGGCTGGGCATGGTGCCTCACACCTGTAATCATAGCAATCTGGGAGGCTGAGGCGGGAGGATCCCTTGAGGTCAGGAATTCAAGACCAACCTGAGCAAGAGTTAGACCCTGTCTCTACTAAAAATAGAAAAATTAGCCAGGTGTGGTGGCACATGCCTGTAGTCCCATCTACTCGGGAGGCTGAGGCAGGAGAATCTCTTGAGTCCAGAAGTTTGAGGTTGCTGTGAGCTAGGCTGATACCATGGCACTGTAGCATGAGTGAGTAGGTGAAAGTTGTACCCCAATTATACAAATGGAGAAATTGAGAGATGAAGAAGTTGTGCTTTTTGTACAACACAGAGTAGAGCTGGGATTTAAATCCAGGCCCACAGGCTTGACTCATGACCCACTCTGTAATTACTGTTAGTAATTACTATTTTGACAGGGCCTAGGAAAAGAGGAACAGGGCTCACTGCCCTTTATGGAGGGCCCTAAGTATATGAAATTGACTTAGCTACAGAAAAAAAAGAGTTGAGAGGGTTTATGCAGAGTGAGGCAGGCTAAGGATGGTGGGATGTGGGAGGTTCAAAGGCAAAGGTTAGGAAGGCGTTGGTGCTATAGTGGTGAGCATAGCTGCCTTCCACAGGCAAAGGTTAAGGAATCTTTTTTTTTTTTTTTTTTTTTGAGACAAAGTTTCGCTTTTGTTGTCCAGGCTAGAGTGAGTGCTGTGGCATCAGCCTAGCTCACAGCAACCTCAAACTCCTGGGCTCGAGCAATCCTTCTGCCTCAGCCTCTTGAGTAGCTGGGACTACAGGCATGTGCCACCATGCCCGGCTAATTTTTTTATATATATATCAGTTGGCCAATTAATTTCTTTCTATTTATAGTAGAGACGGGGTCTCGCTCTTGCTCAAGCTGGTTTTGAACTCCTGACCTTGAGCAATCCGCCCGCCTCAGCCTCCCAGAGAGCTAGGATTACAGGCGTGAGCCACCGCGCCCGGCCGGTTAAGGAATCTTTAATTAGTGGAAATCAAAAAACCAATATTTATGGAGTGCCCACTCTGCCAGCTACTGTGCAAAGGGCCTTGCAAACATAATCTTCCCAGAAACCTAGAAGGTACAGGTATTGTCACCCCATTTTCCAGATGAGGAACTGAGACTAAAAGAGGTTAGCTGATCAGAGAGCAACAACTAGTAAGTAACTGAACCCTTACATCATCCTGCCCACTATGCCAGGAGGGTCAGGATTTAGTTAATGTCAGAGCCTTCCCTTTCTTAGGAGGCCAGAGGTTGCTGCACCTGTCTGTGCAGGTCTCCGATGTCTGCACCTGCCTCTTCCCAGTGAGCTGCGTGGCCCTGGGCAAATCCCTGTTGGAACCTCTGAGTCCGAATCATCTCTGATCTTTGAGTGCGGGTGGCAGACTGTAGTTTTGGTTTGAAACAAACTTAGGTTGATCCTTTTAACTTTTTACATCCTAACAAGAGATGGGTATGGAAAGTTTTAGACTTAGATTAGAATTTAACATAAGAAGAATCAATAGAACTAGAAGAGAATTGTTTTATAGATCCCATAATACAGTAATTCACACAGTTTCATGTATTGTAATTCACATGTAGAACAAAAGTGGAGTTTGCTATTGGGAATAGCAAATAGATCTCAGACTTTAGGAGAGGCTTGTGAAGAAAGTTTATATTTATATTATAAACAACATCCATCAAGGATGTTGTTTAAAAAATGTTTAAAATTTTTAAAAATTTTGGCCAGGTCTGGTGGCTCATGCCTGTAATCCTAGCACTTTGGGAGGCTGAGCCGGGAGGATTACTTGAGGCCAGGAGTTTGAGACCAGCCTGAGCATAAGTGAGATCCTGTTTCTACAAAAAAATAGAAAAATTAGGTGGGCATAGTGGCACAGGTGTAGAGTCCCAGCTGCTCAGGAGGCTGAGGCAGGAGAATCGCTGGAGCCTAGGAGTTTAGGTTGCAGTGAGCTATGATGATGTCACTATACTCTAGCCCAGGTGACAAAGTGAGACACACAAAAATAGCCAAATTTTTATCTCAACTCGTATCTGGGCTAATAAGGAAGCTCTCTATACATATACAAAATTAAATTGCACTTCTTTGTTTATGTTTGTTTTATGATTTATTGGGTAAAAATACATAACAAAATTGGCTTTGTTTTCTAACATGCAACATAGAAAAAAACAAAAGAAAATAAAAACAACAAAAAAAGAAAAAATAGAAATAAAATAAAACTAACACTCAGCATAGAACGGAGGAAAGGGGCCAGTGGAGTCAGATGGCTGCTTTCAAATCTTGGCTTCAGCACTGTACCAGGGAGCTGCTTTAGGCACATCAGTTAACCTTCTGAACCTCAGTTTCCGCATTTGTAAAAGGAAATAAAAATAATTTCTTTGTAGGGTTGTTTTTAGGGTTAGAAATAATACATGTTTCTCAACAAATTTCAAGGGAATGAAATCATAGAGCATATTTCTGACCATAGTGCACTTAAGTTACATACCAGTCACAAAGTATAACTAGAAAACCCGCTTTTATTTGGGAATTAAGTAACACACTTCTAATCATGTATATGGCTGGAATGATGTATGTAAATGACTAGCAGGGGTCTTGGTATGTGGTGGGCACCCAGTAAACATTAGCTGTGATTAGGATTGGTGTCACTGTGATGCCAGATTAGAATGTTAATTTGATGACTATCTGTTTTTTTTGTTTTGTTTTTGGGACAGAGTCTCACTCTGTTGCCTGGGCTAGAGTGCCGTGGCGTCAGCCTAGCTCACAGCAACCTCAAAATCCTGGGCTCAAGCAGTCCTACTGCCTCAGCCTCCCGAGTAGCTGGGACTACAGGCATTTAGTCATCCAATTAATTTCTTTCTATTTTTAGTATAGACTGGGTCTCGCTCTTGCCCAGGCTGGTCTCGAACTCCCGACTTCGAGCAATCCTCCCACCTCAGCCTCCCAGAGTGCTAGGATTACAGGAGTGAGCCACCACACCCAGCCATGAGTATCTGTTTATTCGTGCCTACCTCCTATTTCTGCTGCTTCTCTCCACCCTAATCCAGCACCAGAAATTACAAAGAAGTGTATAGTGAGCCCTTTAGACAAAGGGCTTCGTGGCGTCTTAAAAGACTGTCAGAGTGTAGGCTCTGGCATCAGGTTGCCTGCTACTTCATGGGACTGGTCGTGAGCCCTTTGGCAGTTGCACTACCTGCTCCCAACCTTGGTTTCTTATCTGTAGTATGGGACTCACACTTTTGTTCTCCTAATAAGGTTGCCATGAGAGCAAAAGGAGACCAAGCATCTTTGTGGTCAGCGAGACCCTAGCACGTAGTAATTCTCCGTACTTGAACCTGCGTGTCAGTGGCGGGGAGAGAAGAGGGGAAGGAGGCAGGGAGGACAGGGCCACAAACTAGTGAACAAGCTCCAGTGTATGTATAGAAATGGTCTTGGACTAGGTAACTTCCCCTGGCCCTTCTAGCTCTGAAATTCTGCGATGACCCTGTTGGACCTTGGAAAGGAGACAAATCCTCCAGCTCTGGCTGAGGATGTTGGAAAGGTGTTGCCTGTGATTTTTGCCCTCAGAACAGCTCTCTGCTGAGAAAGGGTTCTTGTTGGCCGGAGGCAGTGGGGGGATATCATCCCCCAGACTCTGATTCTGCTAAGGGAAGGAAGTGCCTGTAAGACGAAAACAGACGGCAGTGCACAGAGGGTTCCAGGTAACAAGGTGGTGCACCAGTCTTAGAAAATGGTCCTGTGTGCCACCAATTCATTATCTTGACGACAATGAATGTGTCACTCTGTCTGATAACTAGAACAGATTCACACAGTTTTGTCTATTCACACGGTTTGTGAATATATCCTGTTCTCTGGAAATTAATTTTTTTCATCATGAACTTATGTAAGAAGTGAAGGTCATGAGAAACACTTGGCAATGGGACTTTCCTCAGAACTCAGCCTCATGATGTCTTCTGTCTGCAGCTTGGAGCCTGAAGGGACGTGGCGATCAAGCGAAGCTGCTGGCATGTGAAGCCTGAGCCAGTGTTAGGGCCTCTCCTCTCCCTCCACCTCCTGACTCCCCTAGCTGTTACTTTCACAAGGAGGCTTGGCTGTTGGCAGCCCAGCCCAGCACTTCTGGGTGGATTTGCATGGTAAATGTCTCCAGTCATCTCCATCTCTACCACCACACCCCTGGGTCCACAAGACCATTTCTTACCTCCTGCGTGGTTTCCCTGCTGCCATCCTGGGCCTCTCCAGTCTGTTTTCCACCTTGCCGCCAGGGTCCCATTTTAAAATGAAATCTAATTGTGTCACCCCAATTAAACCTTTCCAGGGGCTTTCTTTCCTTTAGGGTAAAGGCTGAAATCCTTATAATGGCCTGAAAGGTCCTGTGTGAT